TGTGACCAATGTGACTAGTGTGACCAGTGTGACCAGTGTGACCAAAACAAATTTTAAACGGTGTGACCAGTGTGACTAGTGTGACCAGTGTGACCAAAACAAATTTTAAACGATGTGACCTGTGTGACTAGTGTGACTAGTGTGACCTGTGTGACCAATGTGACTAGTGTGACCAGTGTGATCAAAATTAAATTTTAGACGGTGTAACCAATGTAACGTACCTTTGTCAATCTGTTCCATTATTGCTCCAAACATTTATTTGGCATTAAATATACGCTTCTTGCATTTCTTCGACAGATTTGCTATGCATCTATCTCATTTTCATGAAAAAAATACACGATTCACTCTAAAAATCATAAAACTCAAACCCAAAACACAAAGTTTATGCATCGAACCAATCTCTTGTATTAATGAACTTACCTTCAGTTTTTGTCATTTGTTTTGTCTTAGACCGACTCAAGAAGAAGATATGAGGTCGTCGGTGAGGATATGCTCAACGAAATAACCATTTTTCGTTTGTTTTTCTATGTATAAAAATGAAATGAGAAGAGAGAAAATGAAAGAGTTGAGAGAAATATAAGAGTAGAGAGAGAAAGTTAAGAAAGAAATGAAGAGGTATCAAAGAATGAAAACGAGAGAGATGAATTCAAAATGAAGAGAGGAATATCACGTTACTTTTGTGAGATGGTTAATTATGTCTTTTGTTCCTTTTATTTTTTTTTTCCAAAATTTTAAGGTTTTGGAGGGTAGTCCGTGAAGTCTATATAGCAAAGTAAGGGTATTTGTGCTATATTGCCCATCAGACCACCGATCATAGGTCCGAAAAATAAATGGATGGGCTGGTCTGATCCAAAAAAATCTAAACCCAAACTAAGCACGACCCGAACCCGACCCGACCCGACCCGTCCATTTTACAACCGTATAATTATCATGTGAAGCAGTAAATTTAATGTTCATTTGCAACTTTTTAGCATTGTAAAATACTTTGCCACGTTTTCCAAAGCGTTTCAAAACTGAAACACAATTTGAAACACAATTGCAACACTAGCCATAACAACGTTCTAAATTTAATCGTCTACGAATCTTTTCAATCGTTAAATTTTTTTCCTATAAAAATTAGAAAAGAAGTCAATAATTTAGGATAGAGAGGAAGTAATGTATACCATAAAATAAATGGAGAAAATTTATTAATCCAATCTTGACTCATTCTATCCAAATAAGACATTTATATGTTAGTCACGCACTCTATCATTCGCTACATTTGATTAATTTTTTGTTAATCAATAAAAAATTAAATTTGCTTAAAAAAAAGCTAATTGCCCTTGACAAAAGTGCTTATCATACAACATGTTTGCATGTGCCAAAGTGCATCCGCCTTCAATTATTTTGCTTTCCTCTTCACACGTCCCTCTTATATTTTTTCGGCATAATTAGATATCTTAGATCAAGATATAAACTAATTTCACAATCGAGAGTCAATTATTTACTTTGATTTTTTCGCTTTTTCAAAATAATATAGACGTATTGTGTCCATTTCATCGATTGAACTAGCTAAATTTGAGTTTTTCTTTCAATTTTAATTAGCAATTTATGATTTCGTAATAATTAATTTAATCGAGAAATTTTTCTCTCAAATTTTTTTGTCCATATAAAATCGCAATTTGTCTCATAATTCAAATTAAAACACGATAAAAATCCAAAAGTTAAAAAGATTTCCATGAAATGAATTGAACATCATATATAGAAAAAAGTGCCCAAAATACCAACTAGCTTATTTTTTCTGAGTTCATACTACAACAACCCATCTTTATCTAAACTTAAATTAAATATAATTTATCAACTAATTAAACCGGAAATTAAGCATTAATAAAATGTGAAGCTACAATAGTTGTCGTTTCAAAATGATGCTCCCGAAATTGGTTCATTTAACTGTTAGTTATAATTGTAACATTAATAAAAAAAGTCTAGACAATCATAAAATTGAAATAAAAAAGGTACATCCCCTAATATATCATTTTCCTAGACAAAAGTCTTCTTAAGATTTATCACTATTAGGTGTTGATTGTGAGGTAGTTTTCGGAATTTTTGGATTTTAAAAATTGAAAAAACCGACAATCAAGTTTTTTAAAATTTGGTTTTCCTAAAAACCCGGAAATCTACTTTATAGAAAAAATCAACTAAAAACCAAAAACTACAATTTTTTAGATTTACAAACTTATAAAATCCAAAATCCAAAATCCAAAATCCAAAATCCAAAACTAAAAACTAAAAACTAAAAACCAAAAACTAAAGCCAAAAACCCAAAATAAAAGCCACTACCATTCAAAGCCTTAGTCGTATTTAAATTTAGTAGAATATTTTCGTTCTAGATATGGTCATTTAGGGTTTTCTTGTACTTAAATTGGGTTATTTTTCAGTATAGTTTTTTGATTATATATATATTGCGTTATATTTTCATATCGATTTTTAGTTTCTTTTGGATTCATATTTTATATCAATTAAAAAAAATATTTCTTTCATAAAGAACTTATTTTCTTTCTATTTCGATTATTTTTCATATTTATTTCGTATTTATTAATTTGATCTTATTATATTTAATCAGTTTTGTTGTCCGAATACATTCTAATACAACTATATGTTATTTAATTCGTTTTGAGTTTAGGTTCAGTTTTTACTAAAACGATACTAATTTTTTTTATATAATATTATTTTCATTTCTGTTTTTTTATTAAATTTACATTAATTTTCTATTCGATTCATTTAATGCAGTTATTTATAATCAACTTTATTATCAATTTTTATTTGATAATTACATATTATTGAATTCAATTTTGACACCAAAATTGCAAGATATATGCCTTCTACGTAAAATACAAAACAAAGTTGCAAATTTTGATTCTTCAACTTTATATATATATATATATATATATATGTACCAATCGAAATTCGTATATTCTGCATGAACGTGGATCAGAGTCATCAGACAAAGAAAGGCAAGAACATTCTCCTCCTGCCCCGAATCCTGTTCCGTTTCTGTACAGTCTGTATTATTCGTTTTTTCTCTCTTTAAATTTTCAAATATTATATTAAGAGGGATAATTGTTGTATTCAACTATAAATTGTCTTATAATATTTCATGAATTTGCTTTGTCTCAAATATTATATTAAGTGGAATATAAGGAAAACAATAAAGAAAATATCCAAATAGATCGGATGCCAACTAATACACAGTGTTGTAATATTATTGCCTTTTGCGTATAAACTTTATCACTTTTTAGTCATTATTACGAATTCGATCAATTTAGTTGTAAAGGGTTTAAGTAATTAGCATTTTTTTTAATTACGAAATGGCACATTTTTCAAACGCAGAATGCATTATGGGACAGAAGACTCGTCATTTTATGAATTTTCGGTCATTTTTCCTTTATTATAGAATATAAAAAAATTAAAATCCAAATTATGTGTGAAATAAGTTGATATTTAACGTTAGAAAAGTCAATATCACCGTCTTTGACAAAGCAAATTCAAGTCAAAGAAAAGAATATTATCATTATAATTTAAAAAAAATAAAAATGTCAATTTGTTTTTGTTAATATATATTTCCAAATTTCACCAAAAAATCAGAATTTTCCACACAGAGAATTCAATAGTCAAATTGAGAAAAAAAAGGAAAGTTCTAAGAAACTCCCTCCATTTTACTTAGTCTTTAAATTTGAAGGCACGCAATCTCCAAACCAAACTCTGCAGTCTCTCCCATTGCAGAGAGCTTCAGAATCCAAGAAAAGAAAAAACACGAAAAGAAATGAAATTTCCTCCGCCCTTTAAGATTCTGATATTGGCAATAACCTTTTATCGTGTTCTTCAGACACAAGTCCAGAGCCTGGAGTTCAACTTCACTCAGTTCCACCAATCCACTGAACTGGATCTGGTCAGGAGGAACTCATTCATCGCCTTCGACGCCATCCAAGTGACTCCGGACGTTAGAGGAGTATCTATAGTGAACCAGTCGGGTCGTGCCCTTTACAAGGAACGCTTCAAGCTATGGAGCAAAGAGAAGAAGGCGACGTTCGACACGACCTTCGTCATCAACATCTTGAATCAGACGGATCCGGGAGGTGAAGGTTTGGCCTTTGTTCTTACAGATGAGACAAACCCCCCTCTTAGAAGCTACGGCCAGTGGCTCGGTCTCGTCAACGAGACTACCAACGGCTCTAAGGCTTCCAACGTTGTGGCTGTTGAGTTCGACACGAGAAAGAGCTTTCCTGATGATCTTGAAAGCAGCCATGTTGGTCTGAACGTGAACAGCATCAACTCGGTTGTCCAAGCGCCTTTGAGCGGTTTTGGAATCAGAATACCGTCGGTGGATAGTTTCAGTGCCACTGTTCGGTACGATGGTCAGAATCTTTCTGTCTATGTCTCGCCCGATAAGGATGCAAACCCATCGGAAGATCCGAGGAACTTGGTGTTTTCACACGCCATTGATCTCTCTGCACACCTTCCCGAGAAGGTCTACATTGGATTTTCGGCTTCAACGGGCAACCAAACGGAGCTGAACTGTGTCCAAGCATGGCGGTTTGAAGGTTTGGATATAGGTGAAGATTCAAAGCAGCTGTTATGGCTTTGGATCACTATCCCCATCGTGTCAATTGTTCTGATAGGAATTCTCTTCGGAGCGATTTGGTATTCGAAGGGAGGCGAAGAAAACCCGGCGGATATAGAAGCGGAGATCAATCATTGTGCTATAAACCCGAGGAAGTTCAAGCTGAGGGAATTGAAGAAGGCAACAAACTACTTCAGTCCACAGAACAAACTAGGGGAAGGCGGTTTCGGTATGGTGTTTAAGGGCATATGGAAGAATAGAGACATAGCCGTCAAAAGGGTTTCCGAGAAATCGCATCAGGGAAAGCAAGAATTCATATCCGAGATCACGACGATCGGGAATCTAAACCACAGGAACCTCGTCAAGTTACTCGGGTGGTGCTACGAGAACAAGGAGTTTCTTCTCGTTTACGAGTTCTTACCAAACGGAAGCTTAGACAGATACCTTTTCTTGGAAGACAAGTCAACCAATCGAGGGTTAAATCTCGTCTGGGAGACGAGGATGAGCATTGTGAGAGGCTTAGCTCAAGCTCTGGAGTATCTTCACAACGGGTGCGAGAAAAGAATACTTCACAGGGACATTAAGGCGAGCAACGTGATGCTGGACTCAGAATTCAACGCGAAATTAGGAGATTTCGGGCTGGCAAGAACGATTCAACAGAGCGAAATGACGCACCATTCGACCAAGGAGATCGCTGGGACGCCGGGGTACATGGCTCCCGAGACTTTCCTGAACGGGAGAGCGACGGTAGAAACAGACGTGTACGCGTTCGGAGTCCTAATGCTCGAAGTGGTCTCGGGCAAGAAACCGACTTACTTCTCGAAAGAACAGAACTACAACAACAGTATAGTGAACTGGTTGTGGGAATTGTACCGAAAAGGAACGATCTTGAGAGCTGCAGATCCAAGAATGGAGGGAGATTTCGAGGAAGAAGAGATGAAGAGTGTGTTGGTATTAGGGTTAGCCTGTTGCCACCCAAACCCTAACCAGAGACCCTCCATGAAAACGGTTTTGAAGGTTCTGACAGGCGAAATGAAACCACCAGAAGTGCCGACAGAGCGACCTGCCTTCGTGTGGCCAGCCATGCCCCCTTCTTTCAGCGATTTGGACTACTCTCTCACCGGAACTCAAATCAATTCTCTCACAGAACTCACGGGAAGATGACGTTGAATACGTACGATCCCTTTAGGGTTTTGTCAAGAATCAGTACAAGGCCCTTGGAACATGACAAGTGTTGTTTTTTTAGATGCATGTCTCGGTCTGAAATCTGTGGCCGTGGCATGGAATTTGTTCTTTGTTGCTTTTGAATAATGGGTTTGTAGAATTTTCGCCATGTAATCATATCATAGTGTACATATGTATTGGAAAAGGCTTCGCTGCTTCTCGCCATTTTTTTTTTCTGTAATTTTTATGAATGATTTTATAAGAAATTCTTTCTATTATTTATTAAAATAATTCAATTTTATTTTTAAAATGTACTAAAAATTTGGAGAGATTAAATTTAGAAGCTCTTCATTTTTAATTTAAATGTTTTATTAAATTTTATTTATTTTTAGAAAAAAAATTATTTTAAATTTTTATCGGATACTATAGCCCAATTCACTTAAGATTATGATTAAATTCACAGAAATATTAAAATTAATAAAAAAATATATAATTATAGATTCCGAATATCAAAATTAAAAAAAATATAACCTTCCGAATATCAAAATTAATAAAAAAAAAAGATACAACCATAGATTCCGAATATCAAAATTTAAAAAAAATACAACCATGGATTCCGAATATCAAAATTAAAAAAAAATACAACCATGGATTTCGAATATCAAAATTTAAAAAAGGATATAACCATGAATTTCGAATATCAAAACTAATAAAAAAAATTATAACCATGGATTTCGGATATCAAAATTAAACAAAAATGCAACCATGGATTCCGAATATCAAAATCAATAAAAAAAAATGCAACCATAGATTCGGAATATCAAAATTAAAAAAAATACAATCATAGATTCTGAATATCAAAATTAATAACAAAAAAAAATACAACTATGGATTCCGAATATCACAATTTAAAAAAAAAATCCGAGTTCGCCCGTGTCTAATAATATCACCAATATTTTCCAAGAGCCCATACCAAAATTTCGACCTCCGCAAGGGTGATTAAGGGCAATCTCGTCATTTAGACACCCTTTCGAAAGCTAGGCCAGCTGTTTCCACCACCAACGTGACTCGTCGTGGGGTCGTCGGATCAGAAGTTCAGAATGGACGGCTGGGATCTTCCGAAGGCGAACATGGCGTCCTTTTAAACTTCCATTTCTGAGGCTGAGAGTTTCTTCATTTGCCCTTCGCACGTTCATTCCTTCTTCCTTCACTCCTCGGCGAGGTCTCGGAGATTCCCACAAATCGAGGTATTTTTTTTTCTCTCTTTGAATCCATCGTCAATTTCTTCTCCACAGTATGTGCATCCCTGAGACCGGTCGTTGTTAGATGTTTCATATGTCGATTCGATGAATTTGTCTGTCTTCTTGGTTAGTGATTGATTGTCTGCTTTGGGTTCTGTCGATCTGGATATCGTTTGAATGTTTTCAGAGCATTTATTCTCAGATCTTTAGATTCCGTGCTTTGGCATTTGTATATTTGTGCTATCGTTGTTCGTGGATGCTGCAGATGTTAGCCTTACACTATTAGATCAATGCTCGAATTCATTTCGCATTTCGATTTCCTGCATTTATGGTTCCGCTAGGCATTTGTTTCTAAATGGAAAGTCCGAATTCTTAGAGATACGTGTAGTAAATTTCTTGGGATTTGACGATTGATTTATCTGTTCGTTGCTTAGTTGTAAAGGGTGGATTAAACTGTTCATGTTCTTGTTACTTTTTCCTGTAAATACTGTTTTTTTGTGAATGATCTTCATCCAACATAAGTTAAACAAAATTGGAATCATTATTTATGGAAGTGAAACTGTACAAGGTTCTGCCATTTGGTTCCAACAAAATTGCTAATACATGTGAGAGAAACATATAGCAGGAATAGAAAATGGCCGAAGCCGAGGATATTCAGCCCCTTGTCTGTGACAATGGAACCGGAATGGTCAAGGTAATATATTCAGATCTTGATTACTATATAGACCCAATTGAGAATTTGGATTGTTGATATGCCACATTTTAGGTCTCGCTCTGTCGACAGTT